TCTCTCTCTCTCTCTCTCTCTCTCTCTCTCTCGCACACACACACAAAGCATGAGTGTCCTTGAAGGCCAGCGGCCTTAGTTCCCTGGAGCTGGAGTCGCAGGTAGATGTGAGCCAGCTTGTGTGGATGCAGAAAATTGAACCTGGATCCTCTGGAAGAGCGGTACTTGTTCTTAACCACTGAGCCATCCCTACACCCCCCCCCTCCATGTCCTCTCTGTCTGTTCTTATTAGTAACTCTCTGAGTTATGCATATGGGAATATGGCCATCAGTTGGCCAGGAACAACCTAACATGTCACTCTAGGTGAGTGACTTTTCCTCCCTCAGCAGCCATCACCTGCCAATAGCTCCTCCTTTAAGGGTAGGGCCGATCTCCCTGCTTCCCATATATGCTGAAATATTGACTGGATGATCTTGTGTAGGGCTGGTACAGGTAACCACAGATGCTGTGAGTACTGATGTGCTCAATAGCCACGCTGTGCCCAGAAGTCATCATTTCTCCGCTCTCCTTCCCATCCATCAGTCCTGAAATTCTTTCCCCAGCCCGTAGTGGGAGGCTGGAATTGATGACTCGTTCACAGCTGAACACTGATGACGCCTTGAGCAGTTATGGGTCTCAGCACTTAAACACTACCCACTGCAAAAAGAAGCATCGCTGGTCAAAGTTGGTAACAGCACAAATATATAGATATGTTTAGGATGCATTTTAATAGCATGACTACTTAGCAAAACAGCAACAGAAGGTTACTTACTTATAACTTAGGAGCTCCCCAGTCATGAGCTTTTAACCACATTTCAGCACCAGGCATGAGACCTCTCCCATAGAACAGGCTTTATATCGAATCTGAAACCGTCATGATACAACTGCACCAGTAGATTTATCTTGTTATGTTAAGTCCATTGGTGGTTTTTGTTGTTGTTTGTTTGTTTGTTTGTTTGTTTTGTCATGCAGCAGCCTCCATAGCATCTTCTGGCACTATGTAATCTAGACACCAGGGAAAGAATTTCCTGGTCAGTTTGAAGTTGGTTTCTCTATGTCCTGTGTCCAAACCGAGTGGTTTCTTCAGGGCTTTTTCTACTAGTTCATTTTTATTGCTGAGCAATAATGTATGGTGTTCTGTATTTTCCAAGTTAGGGTTGCTATTGCTGTGGTAAAACACTATGACCAAAGCAACTTGGTGAGAAAAGGATTCAGTTCACCCACAGCTCCCTATTAACAGTTCATCCTCAAAAGCAGTGAGGGCAGGAACTCAAGGAGGGCAGGAACCTGGAGGGAGGAGCTGATGCAGAGGTCGGGGAGGGATCCTGCTCCTGGCTTCCTCAACCTGCTTTCTTATAGAACCCATGACTACCGAGCCAGGGGTGGCAACAGCCAAAATGGGCTGGGTCTTCTCCATCAGTCACTAATTAAGAAAATACCCTAGAGACTTGCCTACAGTCAGATCTTATAATTTTGGTTGTGAGCACAGCCTTTAACAGCTGAGCCATCTCGCCAGCCCTACAGTCAAATCTTATAGAGGTATTTTCTCAGTTGAGGCTCCCTCTGCTCTATCCAGTCTAGTGGCCTCAAATTGACATAAATTAGCCAGTGCATATGTGGATTAATCTGGCAAATGAATGAATGATTTGTCTCTGTATTTTCTTCAGCATTATGGGGACCTGTTAATATCTTCTTCCTTCCCTGCCCTGGCCCCATCTTTTATTATTATTTCTAATTATTTTTTTTCTAAATCACAACACTAATTATATCTCTTTTTTGGCTCCAAGAACCTACAATGTTATACCAGTTACTTTTTTCGTCGTTCTGACAAAACACTTAGCAAGCAGCAGTGCAAGGGAGGAAGAGTTTGCTCTGGTTCACAGCTGGAGGGGATACAGTCCCACCTACATGAGGAGGCATGTTGGAAGGAGGATGAGGCAATTGGTCACAGTTGGTCTATAGGCAGGAAGCAGAGAGTGGACAGGAAAGGGGACCCAGCTGTCAAACCTCAAGTCCAGTGAGACTCCACCTCCTAAATGTTCCACAGCTTTCTAAAGCAGCACTGCTAGCTAGGGACCAAGTGTTCAGACACATGAGCATGTAGGGTCAATTTCATGTTCGAGCCACAATAAATGTTTTACAAACATGTACTAAACCCAGTGCATGCTCTGTAAGGCCTTGTAGCATCACTCTTTAGCTCTCTTTCCAGATCCTCGATGTACTTCCTGACTCTGTTTCCCTTCTCCACCTAGTCCTTTTGCTCTTCAGATGGTCACCATTCTGTCCCTGATGATACCATTCCCCAAAGTGGCTCCTACTGTCCTTCCTTGCAGCATTCTCAAGAATTAAAAACTCAACACTGTCCCTGCCCCCACACACCCAGAAGGCCACTGTGAAACACCACCAGTTTATCTTTGTTCCCAGGCTGTGAGTCTCTCTCATAGGCAGGTAGTAGCCAGCTGGGAAACAAGTCTACTTTGCTAGCACAAATCAACATCTTTCAAAGTGATTCTGTTGGGCGCATCCTTTGGGATGGGGGAAGATCCAAGGGAGGGCTTCCAGTCTCCCTTCAGCTTTGCATTCCGCTGGAGGGACCCTCCCAAATCCACCTACTTTACTCAGTTACTGAGCACAGTGAGGCTGCGGGAAAAGTTCTTTTATGCCTGTCTTAGCAGTTCTGTGAGAGGGTTTTGATACTTTTTAAGAACTTAATGATATGGTAATTTTTCAAGTAATTTTCCAATAAAGCAGAAAGAGCTCTGATAGCTGTCATCAATGTGTCACTTCCCTCCAGCAACGAAAGCTGAGAGGGAATGATGGAATAACAGGAGCAATTTCCTAATGGAAGTGTTGCTTTGGACTGTATGTTGAGAGGATGGAAAGGAGCCCCATGGAACAGCTGATTTTACTTGTTGGCAAAAACACCATTCTCCATATCAGACAACAAAAATTACCAAACATGCCCTTTAGAACACAAGTCTAAAATTAAATTAAGATTTAAGGGCTGGCAAGATGGCTTGAGCAGGTAACAGCATTGGCTGCTCTTGCAGAAGCCCTGGGTTTGATTCCCGGCACCCACATGGTACTTCACAACCACCTGCAATTCTAGGTCCCTGGAGGCTCTCTTCTGGCCTCCAAAGACCAAAGGTTGGATACATAAAACCACGCAGGCACACACAACATACACATGAAAACAAATAATGAGACAGCCAGACTTTAAAAACAAGAAGAATGATTGTGAATGTTCCATTTTGCCCCTAACAGGTCTTTGATAGAGAAAGGCATCTGTTTCAGACTGCCTTGTCCATCTTCTCTAGATGGACCAGGAGATCTATTCTGCTTTGACTTGGTTAGGCCCCAACTGGTTTTGCCATTTGGGAGATTGTGGAACCTTCCGAAGACGGAGGTTGCCTTGGCAGAGGAAGTTCGTCAGGTTCTATAGCCCAGCCCACTTCTCTCTGCTTCCTGTGTGTAGAGGCAACATGACCAGCCAACTCTCTGCTTCTGCTACCACACTCCCCTCCAGGATGGACTGTATCCCGTTAGGATGGAAGCTAAAATAAACCTTTTCACTACTAAGTTGATTTTTTGCTGGGCTGTTCCATCAGAGCAGCACAACAGTAACTGACACAACA